ACCCCCCCCCCACCCTCCGCACAATTTCTTTTTCATCACGCCCTGTCTGCTACTCTTGCTCACCCGTACTTCGGACCCATTAGGCCGCAAAAACCGACCACCACCACCACCAGGAATGCCTGTGGCCGTGCCCCTCCCCCCGACTCACCTCTCCGCGGATCCTTGCCAGCAGCACGTCCTTCTTCCCCGTTACTTTCTTACCCATTTCCTGAAACGTCGCGTATCAAGTAGAGATCGAACGCATGCACAGGCGACGAGAGCAAGCGAGGTCTATCGTTGTGAGTCTGACATGGCAGACTGCGCTACAGCGAGCACATATTCGCGATGACCGGCACTATAATAGTCACCGCGTACATTGCCGCCGCTGTTGCTGTTGTTTCATAGGTACCGCTAGTTGCTGCTGCTGCTGCTGTTTGTGACGTCTTCGTAGCGCTAAGACCGCTGCTGAATGTATAGCACGACCGAACCCACCAACAACCGCGAAAAAAAGGCAGCACACAGACCGTAGCTGCGCAGCTGTGTAGCTGCCTGCACCACGGAAACAAAAGACGAAAAGACAAACCATGCAACTAGACAAAAACATTCTCGGTTTTCAGCACTTTCTACGCAGGTTCAAAGCAGCATCTGTCTTGTCCCGTTAGAGTTTAGAGGTTGTCGTGGTTGTATCCACCAAAACGTGCACCGTACAGTACCCTTTGGTCGACCCACCCCGCGACAACCGGAACGTGCTTGCTTCCTACTGTACTGCTGTGGTGGGAAAACTGTTGGATACGATACCAACACAGGTATCACAGAAGTGCTCGGAAACAGCTGACAGCTGCGGTGATTGATTGCTGACACGAAGCCCGCACGGCACCGATAACGCCAACACCGTACCAGCAAAAAACAACATCGACGACGACGGAGAGATCAACAACAACAACAATGACATCAACAATGACAGCAACAACACACACCTCCGGGTAACATCTACTAATAGTACTAGACACTACTAGACACTAATACCTTGAGCTTTTCCTTGAGCATGGCCGCGGTGTAGTCGGCGAACTCGTCTTGCACCTGGGTCGCCTTGAACGCCTCGAGTTCGGCAGGATCCCTCTCGATCTGAACGGGGTAGGAGGGAGACGGCGGGGCGGTGGGGGCAGACGAACGTGGTTGGCACATTTGACGACGTACCGACTTCCAATTCTTGACAAAACGCGCGGCAAAATTACGATGCAGGTATGCTGTACCTTATTGGACACCAGTAAGAGCCAAGACTCGCATGCCCCCAAGCCTGACCGCGCACACAGGCACCTGGGCTGTGGAAAAGCCGACAGACAAAACAACCCTCCACATGAATGCATGCGCACCTTGAAAACCCGTCGAACCGGAAGCTTTTCTTTGGTCTTTGGGTTCGTCGCCCCGCCAAAGAGAAGCGTCTGCGCGCTCGCGCGCCGGGGGGGTTGGGGGGTATGGGAGGGGCCATGTAAGGATTAGGTTTCAGCCTACCCGACAAAAAAAAAAAAAAATGACCAAGACAAAAAAACAAAAAAAAAATGCACAGGACGGTGCCTGGTAAAAAAGGTGTCACGAGCTGCTGCATGAACCAAGATGCAAGTGGTTGTTGCACACAAAACGCGCCGCTCTTTCAAGTCGGCCTCTCTTCTTCGAACAGCCGAGAGGGACACGAGCCCTCAAAACCCTCAAAAGATATGGAATTTCTCGAACGAGCGCACGCTGTTGTGCCCGGCGTCAGGAGACCGCAGAACGTAGTAGCAGTCGCAAGAAAAAAATGACGGAACAAACAAGTACACAAAATGGACAGAACTACCGTACAAGGACTCCAAGGCAGTTACTGCTGTCCGCGCACCTGAATCTGTGTGCTTGACGACGGGTTGAGGGTCTCCGCGCCAGGCTGTATCTTCTTCACCCAGTTCAGGAATGTCTCCTGCTCGAGGAAACCAAGAGCATTTCCCACATAATAATGGTGGCGTTATCTCTCCGATATTCGTGCGTCATTATATACGTCTACACACGTCGGCTTTTCTTGTCGCTTCAGGACAAGACGAAGTTTTTTTCTCGCATGGTGTCGAAATTATTTCTATGTACACAGTGTTAGACTAAATAGTATAGTACGGACAGAAGAAGGTATTGGGCAAAGAGAACGGAACGCTTTTTAATGTGAAGACAACAACAACAACAACAACAACAACATCGTGCGCCATGCACACACGCATTGTACATACACCCGTGCCTCGCACATACACCCGTACCTCGTACATACATCCGTACCTCGTACATACACCCGTACCTCGGCCTTCTTCTTGTCGTTCCGGGCCTGCACTTCGATGTCCTGCAGGTAGTCCTTCGCCTCCACGTAGATCCCGGTCCTGAACAAACACGAAACACACACACAACACAAAAAACAACAAAAAATACCAAGAAAGGCACACAAGACTTAAAAGAGCAAGCAGCTTTTTGAGGTCCATAGATCGCCGCCTTGCAACGTACGCGTGGAGCAATGGAACAGAGCCTCCCACCTATGCACCCTGTAGCAACGATGACAACGACCCAAACGACAACAGCAACAACAACAACAACAACGACAACGACAACGACAACGACAACGACAACGACAACGACAACGACAACAGCAACAACAACAACAACAACAACAGCTACAAGGACAGAAGGCAAGGCGTCTGTCTCGCGTACGCACCTCTCCATGTCCGTGAGGAGCTCCCCAAAGGGCACGTAGTACATCTCGTAGAAGTCCAGCATGGTCATCCCGTCCTTCCACGACATCTCCCTCAGCTTCTGCATCAGTTCGCGGTGCACCAGCCACGTCGCCTGGGGGGACGTAGAAGCAGATTTTCTTCGGTTAGTTAACAATCATGCAACTTCATGCATTCCTTCGCTCTTTTTTCTGTCTCTTGTCCATCTCTCCCTCTCTCTCGTCTCTTTCGACCCGCCCCGCCGCTCTCTCTCTGGTATCTCCTTCTTCCCTTGCATCCCCCTGCTCCCTCTCCCCCCTCTCTGACTTCCCACGATTCCGTTCCCCACCCTGTCTTTTCTCTGGGCAGCTCGATTCCCTTCCTCCCAATTTCCTACACCCAACTCATGTTCTCCGTAGATACCACTCACAATCAACAGTCACCTTGTTATTTTTCTACTCGTTTCTCAGATCACACCACGTCGCACCTGAGCGTCGTAGGCCGAGTACTCGATGAACCTGGGTCTAACCTCCGGCCTCGTCTGTATCTCGTCGATCGGCGGCAGCACCAGAAGGTTACCCGGCGTACCGTCCTTCTTGAGCTTGGGGATGCCGAACAGCTCCTTCATGGGCGTCTTCCGCTGCCCCTCCCCTGCCACGCGAACACAAACCACCAGAGGGAAACAATTTGGGGGCGGGGGCGTACCCATGTTTCGCAAGCTGTTAGACCGTTGACAACGCTTCCTCCAGAGGACGGAGTATTGGCCGGGGCGGGGGGGGGGGCGCAGTCATGTTTAGCATGCCGAAGTTGTTAGACCATGTTATGCTGCATGTGCCGAAAACCCACAAGGACAGCTGAACACCATACACACACCAACAATCAACATGGTTCTTTATGTAAGCCGCTGCCCACAGAAGTGCCGGCTCACGGATGCGCAGAACTCACCGAGGAGCTTGAGAGACAAGGCTTCGAGCGAGAAACCGGTGTCCCCGGCGTACTTCTCCATGCTCGTGTCCCACAGCCTGGCCATGTGCATCGTGTCTCCGGCGAAACCGACGCAGTCGATCCTTTGCTCCTCCCTGTTGTCTGGCGAGTTGAACATCACGTGCCTGTCGAAACCGTAGTTGTGCCACACCTGGGGGATACGAAGAATTAGGACAGTCGGGGACGGGGGGGGAGGGGGTGTACTCATAGTCGTGCATGCCGTAGTCGTTAGACCATTGACCTCGCATTCCTACAAAGCCGGGACGGAGCACGCCGGGTTCTCACCGGACCAGGCTCTCACATCACCAAGCGCGAAGCGCCGTGAGGTATTCGGCGAGTAGCATGAAGGGGACGGGGGGGGGGGGGGGGCTGGATTACTGATGCTCGCCTATCCCACCCGTGTTGCAAGTCACACAAAAAGCAAAAAAAAAATGACAAAGGGGCTCCGCGAACTCGATGGTACCTACCCCTCGTGAGCCCCCATGACGTGTTGCCCTGGGACACCATCTTGTGCACACCTTTCTCACCGCTGGTGCTCCCCACCCCACACAGATGGCTACGTGCTATGAAATCAGCAGGATACCTCGAGCATGTCATGTTCTACACGCGCAGACATTTGATTTTGCCATGGTTTCGCTCTAAACCTGGCAAATACCGTGCGATGAAAAGGTGAAGAGAGTTGCTGCTTCAAGCCCGTTTCGCAGCTGTCCGCACGAAACTTCACGCTGCTATACACTTGCGAAGGAGCTGACGAACTCGCTCGAGACTTCGCGAGAGCGGATAACATAGGCATAGGTAGCATTGAGGGGTTGGCGCAATGTTGGTCGCCACTACGAGGGTCGTTCCAGTGAAGCACTCTATCGCAAATTCATCGACCAAACACGACCCATGTGCCTACCTCCAATTTTTTTAGGAGATCTCAGGCAGCATCTCCCGAAATTTGACCATCAACGCGCAACACACCTCCACAAACCGATTCAGCCCAATGTTTTTATGGCACCACGCTGTAGAGAACATGCCTAAGGTCGCTTTAGAGGGTGGGCCACATTTTGGACCGCCACCTACAGCCGGAGTTATTGACGAATGGCGGCCTGTCCCATAGGAATTCGGCCGCCGTGAGTTCCGGGTGATCGATGCTTGTAGTAAAAACAAAAAAACGCTTCGATTGGAGACTTGCAACGCGAGCGATCTGTGTGTCTGGCGACTGCTGCAGGATGCCAGCACAAACAAACACGCACAAACGCCAACAGCAACAATACCTTCGGCGACCGACTGTACAGGGGGCCAGCACCACAGGCACACACACACACGCCCCCCCAAATACACCTTCGAAGCACATCCGCAGACATACCTTCTTGTGCTTCTCGCTCGCGAAGAAGGGTAGGAACTCCTCCAGCGTCCCCGCCGCCGCCCCCAGGTTGTCCACCCACAAGATCTTCCCGGGACCTTCTCCGAAGTCCAGGTCCGGCCCCCCGTAGATCGAGATGCACGTCACGCGACCGTGGCCGACGGGGCCATGGTCCTGTTTAATGCATGGGGGGGAGGCGGCGGGGGGGGGCGTGCTCTTACGTTTTGCATGCCTTAAAGGTTGCACCATTGACCACGCGTCCTCCAAAGGACGGAGCAGCATTGTTCCCACAGGACCGATCACCGATGGCCAATCGTTCGTTTCTGGGGGGGGGGGGGTTCCCGCGAAAAAAGGGAGGCCAGAAACTTTCGGAGGCGTTTCGCGGAATCCGGTCCATGCCGACAATAGAGAAACATTCACGGAAGCCTGTTACCTACCCACAGGGGAGATATCGTCTGTAGCCTGCTCGAGGAATAGTAGCAGCACAGGTGGGTCATGTATCAAGCCATGTTACAATTGCAAAGTATTTCCGGGACTCTTCTCCGTGGATAGTAGAGATTAATACATTGCGTTTTCGTGAGGAAACTGCGAAAAAAGAAAAAAAATGCCCACCAAGCCCAGAGGCGCGGGCGCTCAACCTTTTCTCGTGGCGAGAGGTGTAGGCTTGGTTGGTCTGCCAACTACCATAATACAGCAGTAGCGCCGAAACACAGGCACCCACGAAACCATCATGGCCGGCATCTTCCAACCGGATATATAGCCGGGTATCCAGGCGTATTCGCTCGTACGCGGTGCCCATGAATACACACACACACACATACAGGGCCTACAAGAGTGGAAAACGAATCGGTTATTCTTTTATTACTACCTCACCTTGAGGTTGATCTCAGAGACCTCCGTGTCACAGGCGTAGAAGGCATCCGGGTTATCCATCAAGATCTTGACAACCTTGCGCGCCTTCTCCCTCCCGGCGACAATCTGCAGACAAGAAAAAAAAAAAAGCAGGCAACGAACGAGGGCTCTGAAGGGTCCACCTCACACATTGGCCAAAAAGAACCCGACGACTTCACGCACGCTCGATACTTCATGGGTCCCTAAGGTCTTGGGGGGTGTCTAATGTTCCCCGTGCCGACAAAGTGTGATCGTTCCTCTTTCCGTTCGGCCTTGTCCCTCTCAAAGCAGTCCCTAGCCCTTTTCTCCCATCTTTCCCCTGACACTACCCCCGTCCTCTCGCCGCCTTCCTCAAAAACCGAACCCCCCCCCACCTCCCTCCCCTCACGCGAAAGCAAACCCTAACCTTGGAGGAAGTTCTACTCGGATTGGGCGACTAAACGTTCTCAGCACAAAAAGAAGGGCGTTTGGTCCATGGCCACACTCCCAAGAAGGCATGAGACAACCCTCCCCCCCTCCCCGCATCCGCCCCGCACCCAAACACGCCGCGAAACTCACCTGAACGCCCTCCACCTTGTCTTCCACCGTTTTCGGCATCGACGGCAACGGCAGCCGCTCGATACCCGGGTCTACCACAGGCACCGCGGCCGGCTTGAACGCTCCCCCGCCGGGGCCGCCTACTCGCTGTGAACTCCCTCCCCTCTCGACCTGCTGCTGCTGCTGCTGCTCCTGCTCCACTCGTCGCGCCGGCGTAGCAGTAGCAGCGGCAGCACCAGCATACCCTTGTGCGGCAGCAGGACGTCCGTAGTGGCTCGTGCCGCCGCCGCTGCCGCCGCCGCCGCCGCCGCTCGCCGGTGTTGTTGCGGCCCCGGCGTACCCGTCACTACCGGCAGGAGGAGGACGGCCGTAGGAATTCGCGTAGCTGCTGCTGCTGCTGCTGCCGTAGGTGTTCGAGACGCCGTTCGTGCTACCGTTCGGGCCGCCGCCGCGGCCGTTGCCGGTGCCGAAATACTCGCGCTGCCGCGTCCAGTCGGACGCCACCAGGATGTCCTCCCCTTGCCCCACGTAGGCGTTGTGCTCGTCCCAGTTCTGGGGAAGCGCCTCGTCCTCCTCCTGCTCCTGCTGCGGCTGCGTAGGGGTCGAAGAATCCGTGTGAGGCAAACTCTCCGGAACCTCGCCAACCGCCACTGCCGCCGATGCCGCGGCGGTGTTGCTGCTGGTCGTCTCAGAATTGGCCTGTCGAAACATTGGGGGGTATTTACACGGCAAAACATGCAAGGTGTTTCGAGGACTCTTGCAACAACATGTTGAAGGCGGGACATTAGGTCAAGGGCACTTCTTGACGCGAAAGAAAACAAAACGGCACAGGAACAAAAGACATGCACGACGCTGCGGTGCCGGCCGCAGACTCAAACGAAACATACGAAGAATCCGACAAAAACACAACAAATAAAACGGTGGCATGAAGATGAAGTGACTCGTTTGTCGATGTTGCACCTGGTTGAGTCTCTCGATCAGCTCCTCCTTTCTCCCCGAGACTTTGAGCTTCTTCGCTCTCAGAATGTCCTTCAGCTTCGGCACCGTGAGCTTAGAATAATCTACCACCTCCGCCTCCACCTCCACCCCTTCCTCCCTCTTCTTCCGCCCGGCAGAAGCCGCCGGCATCTCCTCCCGCCGTGGCTCCACCTGAACAAAAAAAACGCCAGCATGACAGATTTTCTAGCGTGCCTGTAAGGTTGCAAAAAATGCTGCCTCAGGCTTCAAAATTGGCATCACCGGCCGCCGCCACCACCACAAGCTGCAATTTCGACGTGACCCACTAAAGAGGGCCGAAAAGAGATGACAAACAACACAATCACGTATACAGATACCCAACACACGCGCCTTCTCTTTCATTCTGTAGCCGGGGCATAGACACGTCATTCTATTCCGCTCACTCAGGGTTTAGGCCGCACCTTTTACGCTTCGCTGCACCGCACCAGAGAGAGGCGGAGGCCTCCTGCACGCCAGAGACTCAACAAGAGCAGTCCACGGACAAGCCGATAGCTGCTTGCAGCAGCAAGTGTTTCGTGTCCGGCGGCCATGGGCTAGCATTTTCAAAGATCTCCGCGTGTGACAAAACATCACCAACACCGGCACCACAACCAGCAACCACAATAAATACGGGCGCGCTTTTCCACACTTGTCATTGCTCCCACGCCTGCTCAGATCGTGAAAATACAACCCCTATCTCACCGCAAAGGACGCAGGAGCCCAGCCATCAGCGGCGCCCTCCACCTCTCCCTCCCGCTGTTGGCACTCCGCGACCACGGCACCCGTTTGTCGATGTTGCACCTGGTTGAGTCTCTCGATCAGCTCCTCCTTTTTCCCCGAGACTTTGAGCTTCTTCGCTCTCAGAATGCCCTTCAGCTCCGGCACCGTGAGCTTCGAGTAATCCACCACCTCCACCTCCTCCACCACCTCTTCCTCCTTCTTCTCCAGCCCGGCATCCTCCCGAAACGTCGACAGTTCGTCCGCCAGCACGGCAGAAGCCGCCCGCACCTCCTCGGGCCGTGGATCCACCTAAACAAAAAAAACGCCAGCATGACAGATTTTCTAGCGTGCCTGTAAGGTTGCAAAAAATGCGACTTCAAATTAGGCATCACCGGCCGCCGCCACCACCACAAGCTGCAATTTCGACGTGACCCACTAGGGCCGAAATGAGGTAAAAACAACACAATCACGTCTACAGCTACCCAACACACGCGCCTTCTCTTTCACTCTGTAGCCGGGGCATCGACACGTCATTCTATTCCGCTCACTCAGGGTTTAGGCTGCACCTTTTACTCTTCGCTGCACCGCACAAGAGATAGGCGGAGGCCTCCTGCACGCCAGAGACTCAACAAGAGCAGTCCACGGACAAGCCGATGGCTTCTTGCAGCGAATGTTTCGTGTGTGGCGACCATGGGCTAGCATTTTCGGAGACCTCCGCGTGTGACAAAACATCAACAACACCGGCACCACAACCAGCAACCACAATAAACACAGGCGCGCTCTTCCACACTTGTCACTGCTCCCACGCCTGCTCAGATCGTGAAAATACAACCCCCTCTCTCACCGCAAAGGACGCAAGAGCCCAGCCGTTAGCCACCCCCTCCGCCTCTCCCTCGCGCTGCTGCCACTCCGCGACCACGGCACCCGACTCCGCCCCGCCATTCTGCACCCACAGCCCGTTCTGCATACCGTTCCTCACGGCAGCGGCGGGTGACGTCACGTCGCCCGCCCCGACCGCTGGCCGCCCCTCCTGCTGCCGTTCCACCCCAGCGGCTCTCCGGGCGTTCTCGTACCCCACCCCCCGTGGCTGCTGCTGCCGCCGCCGCCGCGCCTCCCCCCCGTGCTGCTGCTCCTCGGGGTACGTCGAGGCCGGGTACAAGTGCTCCGCGGTCTGCGGCAGCGCTGACGCCTGCTGGCACATGGTTGACGAGCGATACGACAGCCCCCTGGCGATCCCACCGCCGCCGCCGCCGCCGCGAGCCAAGCCTCCCCCCCCGACGACATCATCCCAATCGCGCCACCCCCCCCACGCCCCGTCTGCCGCCCCCGCGCCGCTCCCGGTCAGCCCCCGCCCGCCCCCCACGAAATCGGAGGCCCCCGGCCGCTCGTTGTCACCGGCTCCTGCGCCTTGCGCTACCGAGTATCGAGCGACGGGGGCGCT